GAAAGATTCTTAATATTAACTCAATGTAATACAATACAGTACTGTAGCGTTTTCACCCTTAACAAAACCAACAACAAATAAGTAGTTAAGTGAATTGTCTTCAGTTCATAATTGTGTTCAGTCAATATTTCTGGTTTGAAAAATAGATAAAAAAGTCAGGTTAATCATTGATATATTGTTGCTTAAGTAGAGCTTTGCACTGGCCTTTTATCAAGGGCTCACCACCAAATTCAAACCAATCAGTAATGACCACTCCTGTACTGTCCTGCTTTACTCCTTACTTTGCTGCGTATGTTCCATGCCAAACATACACAGCATGTTATAAAAAACATTGTGTGGCTGGGGAAATTGAAGATTTCAAGAGGTCATCTACCTCACATATTGTTTAATTTATTGTTTATTTGTATTTTTTTACAATGAAAAAAAAACTCAAAATAAGTTAACCAAGTAATTGTTAAAAAAGATAGGTTCGTTCACATCATTCTTAAGTATAGTTTTGTGACGCGTTTGTGTTATTAAATAGCTCACCATCCAACTAACTTGATAAACGTAGTAAAAGACATAAGTTAAGAGCTTGAGTAACCAATTTATTTTTTAATTACACTGTCCTTCCCAACAGGAGCTCGTTTAGCAACAAAAGTTTCACCAAAGCTTCGCTCTCAGCGTGTCTTCAATGTAATTACCTTACTGTTAATGTATCTAATGAACCATTTTAAGTGCCCTCTAAGTTCATTTATACTATATTCATTTTCATTTATATTAGGATGAAATGATATGTTAATCTATTTTCAGCAGCCATAACAAGTAATATCTCTCATGGGTCTTGCCATAAATTCTGTAATACTGAGTAGTTATGAAAATATCTAATTTTTTATTTAGCAAAGCAGCAATTTACGTGTAAAATACTGATTCAACCATTCGAACAGCCATAGTTTCTTTTAAATATATTATTGAATTTTTAGTGTTAATACTGGCTTTCACTAGATGGCTATTGTATATTATTGAAATATTACTCTTGATGATTGCCATAGTTGGTCTCATAATATATATGTGCAATACACATTTCTGAAATTCACACAATTAACAGCTTACACCAACCAACAAAATAGTAAATTAATACTTTCCATAATTTTCTATAACAGTTATAAGCGCCGATAGTTAAGGAATAGGGGCCAACTATCCAACTTATCCAATTGCCTTAGACTTGTAGATATAAAAATTTTATTTCGCAAACAAGAAAATAATAATAACCTTTCAATCCTTCGCTTAAATGTGTAAACCATTCTCAACGGGAGACAACGCCGATTCAAAATGGTTTAAATCAATCATATTTCCGATTTGAGGTTCCAGATGCACAATAGCAAAATGGTTTTGGTCGTTTGCATCAAAATAAAAATACAAAGAGATACGCTTAACTGATTAAGTTGCTCTTTAAAAGTATGCAAATTTATAAATTGTAAACTGCATATAATAACGCAACAAATTAACAACGTAATTAACCTGTGGTGATTAGGGATTCTATCTCTGTAACCGTTGGGCATACAACAACGCTTCAACATACAAAATTATTTCATTTTTCAAGCTCTACGGCTCTACATAATGGTTAGGAGAGAAATTCAGATTTTTTTTGTTTTTAGGGTCAAAAATGGGAAAAATCTTAGTTTACCCCATAAAACCCCCCATAAACCCCCGTTCCCATAGTCCGATTATGCTGGTTCGCTAACTCATTTGAACGAATAGTGTTTTTGGCCTCTGGAGACTTTTAAACGAAAAAGTAAATTGGTTCCAGGTCTATGTTTTACCATGAGACTGCGGTAATAGCTTATTCACTATATGTAAAATTTGCTAACACGTACTTTTACTTTCAGGAAAAAAAATTAATCGAGTAAACAACTTCTCAACCTGTCTGTTCTTGTTTAATCATTAAGACGATGTGTTGGATCATCTACTTCATTAGCCTTCATTAACTTACTTGACGTGATTGACAAGCTGCGATTGAACTGATTTTGTCGAAGTTCTTGCTGGTATTAACTACTTTGACATTTTGGATTTGTATCGCAACTGACTTCATAAGACAATTATACCCAATAAACCACTGTAGACTAAAGTTCTTGTCACTTGTGATTTTTATTTTTCAATTTTAGTTTTATTATTTAAATAGTATTCGTGAAATTCGGTTCTGTTTACATATTTTCTCAACAAGTTTCTTTAATTCTATTGCTAACAGTTTTGACGATGACGAATACAAGTCTTCACAATTATTGTCCATTTTCAGGGTGAACATTCCTCAATTCTTCAAATTAAACATCTCATTTCACGCAACATTTACTCAGGCATAGAAATTTATTTAATTATATTAAAATTAATAGGACAAAGTAATTGAAAATATCAGTCTTTTGCAAAATCCACAAAATAGTGTCAAACTACGGATTTATATTGAAGAACAATTTATTTACAATAAATGTGGACAATTTATTTTAATACAAAATATTGGTGAATGTCTCAACCACAAAATTATCTTTATAAATATAATAACAAATGAACAATTGAGTATTTAAATTAAGTTCCGATCTATGGCTTGATTCAAAGGTTTTTTATAAGCTAATTTAAAAACAGTTCAGACCTACAATATGCCTTAACTCAGCAGCCTGTCTCGTTCTCACAAGAGATCTATGGTGAATATCACCATCGTTACTGTTACTATCTGATGAAACAATCACTAATGTAGCTTATATATAATTAAATAATCAGCTACATTAAAACATTAAAAATATATTTGATTATAAATTCCAATGGAATAGTATAACTAATATGAATACCTCAACATTTCCTCTTAATTAAACTTTCCCTAAATTTAATCACTATTATTTATTACTCATCTTTGACGCAGTGAAATTTGCTGATAAATATTGAGATTAATTTTCTATTTACTGGCCGTGTCTGACTGCTTTTAGACGTCAAGTAAAGTATATACCATTTGTAAAGTATATGGATTTTTAAAGTTATGTACTTTTAAATTGATTTATAGTTTACTTAATTTACTACTCTACTGTAGTATAAAAAATATCTTTTGTGGTTTTATTGTATAGTTATAATTTAGTATTTTTCAGTGTAACAATATTGTATGACGCACAAGTTTCTATGATACAAAAATATGTGTATTTAAACATTGAAAATTGTGTAATTAATGATATTTTTTGAAGGTCGAACTCGTATTTTTTTTAATTGCTTTTGAGGAATCTTCCGACTTTGAAAAGTACAATAAAAAAGTCATAAGAAAACTATGTTTTTACGTTATGGTAAAACTATGCCTTTGTTTTGGACGCATTGGTCTTTGAAACATACCAACTTAAATAAAATGGAATTGATCTGATCATTCCAAATAATAGGTTGTGCATCATAATTTGGCATTCCACTTATAAGAGATGATAAGATTGTCAATATGGATGAAAGGAATAATGTTTGTAAAAGGAAAATATTTTGAAGAAAAAACGATTCATCACTGGATAAGTTTTAGCCAGATGGTCACGCTTTCAATTAAGATTGTGTTTGTCAGATAGCAGATATTTCAGAAAAGCTAGAGATATTGGTTGTCACGGTTTTGATTTATCAAGCACTATTGAATACAGTTAGACCTACGATAATCCTAATGGCTAATATTTTTGTTTTTTTACCTGAAATTGAAATGGCAACCATACGAAGGTAGATAGTTCATCCCAAGTATGAATGCCTATTAGCACCGTTGAGCGTGTTCAATCTAGGGAAATGTTTTTATAATGAGAATATTTAAAGGCAAAATGTTAAAGTGGTAGTGGTTTTTTTCTGTAACTCCTGTTTAATCGTAGACTTTATTACAGATGTCTACCGTATTAGTTAATAACCTTAGAAGATAAAATTTATACCGTAAGCTAAATACTCATACAAGTACATGTTTTTGTTAACACACGGTCTCTATCCTAAAAAGTTTAATTTAGTTTTTTTTTTCTATAAATCTAATTTTACGGTACTATATATCATTAATAGGCTTTTAAATCTTGTGTTTTACTGTTAATTATGGCATTTGTTATCGAATGTACAATCATTAGTTTTATCATATATTCTAATACGAGCTACGTCTGTTTGTCTGCCTGTCTGTCTGTCTGTAATATATGTCTCGAAATCCAGCGGAAGGATTTTGACAAATGTTGGAATTAGGTACTTATAAACGTGATTGGGGATTGCCATTACCTCAGGAAAATTCGTATTTCACTTCACAAATCGAATGAAAATTTTAAGATTTTACATTGGCTTTATGTATTGTTAAGTAAATATGTTGATTGAACAAAATAACAAGGAAAAAGTAATAAAATCCTTGTAAAATGTGTTTACAACAAGCCATCCATAGTATACTAGCCAATGAAAAAATACAGCACAAAGGGGAAAACATCAGTTGTAACTATTGAGCAAAGATTACACTAAAGATTACTCGACCTTGGGGGAAAAGTGTTTCGTATTGGTGACGTTTGAGTGCACTGCCGTCAACACAATGTGTCACTTTTATTTGAGGGTGGATTTTACAATTTGTATTCACTCTTTCATTGTTTACATAATTTGGACAGCTGTGTATTCAGTTGAATTGGTATTAAAGTTATTTGTATAATGCTTATAGTAAGTAATATACGCTTGAATCGGACTTATCTGTATTCACACAGCCACCTCTAATACATTACATGTATTAGAGGTGGCTATGGTATTCAGGTAATCCATCATATGATAGTATTTTAGAGAGCATGCTCATACTGAAGTTTTACTTATACTCAAAGAAACATTTAATTTAGTACCATGAAATAAATCACACCCCATAAATACGCTGTTGTATGCTATTTATAGTATAGTGTAGCTATTCATTCACAATTAATGCTATTGTAGCTGATTGCTACTGTATTAACCTGTAATTGCATAATAATTTCTACTATAGGAACCGATATAAAAAATACTTCTTCTTATTTTTTAACATTTGTTTTATTTATTTACAACTAAGAAATGTGAAATATTAAAATAAATTAATGTGTTGGATTGCCAAGTTCGCATTTTTATCATAGAGAATTAAAATTCTACTGAAACTTATGTACTACTTTTATTGTTATGCAGTACTGAAACAATAAAAGCCGAAATTAGTTATAAAGAAAACGCGAGTTTCTTTTATTGATTTTATAATCGAAATAAACATACCGAGCCACGGCTTGGTCCTAGGTACTTTGTAATTATATGAATAAGCGTAAAATACCTCTATTTATGCGATATGGTAAGTTGAAGTTTGGCAACCAGATTCAACTCACATAATAGTCATGTGAAGCGAGAAGACATCTTAACCGGCCTGGGCTCCAATATGAGTTGAATCTGGTTGCCATACTGCAACACACCAGATCGCATAAATGCAGCTAGTTTACACCATTTTATAGCATTTAAATGCTATCAGAAGGCTAAAATTCTATATAATTTTATGAATTTTGGAATCAAACTTTAACTTTATAACAACAGTTATTGCTAACAAGATAAACCAGTAGTGTGACACGAGGATACACAATTTCCTATCGTCCCTTGGACAACAGATCCATTTTGTTGACGATCCATTCAAGATATGCAGGCACATGGACGTACACCCCAGGCATATCACCAGAACAGTAAGTGTCCCCATGTGACACCACTCCTATGAGGTAGTACGACTGGGCCGAGCCAGTGACGTCAAAGAACCTCCCCATGAGAGGACCACCGGAGTCTCCGCTGCAAGAGTCTTTATTGCCCTCTCCTCCAGCGCAGATGTTGGGTGATGCCGTCACTTGGGATCCCATCACTCGCTGGCACTCGTCTAGACTGACCACAGGGAGAGATGTCGTCTGCAACACGGTGGCGCGAATACCCGTCCACAGGTCTGGCGGAATAACAACAATACATCACGTGGCAAATACAGTAAATAGAGCAACTATGCTATTTACTAAATCCGTATTTTTTATTCTATCAAAAACTAGTTTTGCTTAAAAAGTCATAAATGCTTCAATAGTAATAATAATAATGGCTTTAAATAACTGTTTTACTCGATGTAAATAATAATATTCCTTTTTAGTATTATATATATTATAAAGATAACTCACATCTAAGTGGACAATTTCCAGTCCTTCTCTAGTTATTATATTGCTTAACACTAATTTTCTTTTTGCGTACCGAACTCCATGATGCCCCATCCAGCAACTTCAAGGTATGTACCGGTGAAGTTTTTACTCTGGAGATCTTCCGTTATAGGCAAGCAGATCGGAACAACAAAATCTAGATGTAAAAATATAGATAAAACGAAATATCAAAAGTATGTAAATCCTCACAAAAATAATGGGTTCAGTATCGGCAGTATCTTTGATTGTTCTTGAAGACAAAATTAAATATTTCAAAATAGCGGCTTGGTTTAATAATATATGCATTCATAACACTTAATATTTTAATCGGTTACAAACCTAAATAAGTAAAATAATTAGTTTAGATAATTATGATTATGGTGCGAATCAAATTGCTTCATAGTTTCAGCTTGCCCATGGAAAATATTTCTTTACCATACAAATTTCACTAAAACATGTTCTTGCTGTTATACATAACCAAATTTGCTATTAAAATACAGTATCAGACTGTAAAGTCATAATAAATTATTAGTTAAATTACGTTCACTAAAAGAATATTGGGAGAAGTTTACTTGATATTGTGACAATATGGTCTTATTATAACGATACTACCATAATACATCAACTACAAAGGTACTGATAATCTTTACTAACAAAAAAAAAATATGTTGAACTATGACTACTAACTAAAAGAACTATCTTAACTAAAAGAAACTAATAAGATATTACTCGAATTTTTACAGAACGGGTTATGAAAATGGTTGAACTAATTTTTATGACTTTACTGTCTGATACTGAATCCTAATAGCAAATATAGTTATGTATAAAAGCAAGAACATGCTGTGGTATTTTTTTTTTAAATTTAAAAATATTTAATTTTTGTCTTCAAGCGCAATCAAAGATAATGCAAATGGTTGTTAGCAATACATAGTAAAATTAAATCCAAAACATGATCTGGTCCAAGCACAGAGGATTTTTATGGTTAAAGAAAGGAAAGGTTTAAGGATACTTAAATCAACCAATGCCTCATCCAACAGTAGATGGTTGTAATCCACGCACCATTGTAAGATATTGGTTTCCGAAGTCTGATGAGACATATGTCATGTTTGAGGAGGTCCGCGTTAAATTCCTCGTGGATGACGTATCTCTCCACTTCTATATCTTGAGGAGGTGGAGAGCATGCCCCAGCTTGACAGTCCTCCTTAGAGTCTAGATTATGCTCTCCTACTCTCACTGACACACTGAAACACATACAACCCTACTAATGTCCAGGATTGTTTTTTCCGTTACTTTAAGTTAGGCGGGGACATTATCTCTTTTATCAAACCCTTTGGTAGTTGGCGGTATTTTTGCCCTGGACCTTGCGGACCCAAGTCCCTCCCTCTACCACTAGACCATCTCACTCCCCAGGCACCCCTGCAATTCAATTGATATTTACTAAACGTCACTACAAAGAACATATAATAAAGACGTATTCTATAACCATTGGCCCTGGAAGTTGGAATTCGTTTTACGTTCACTTGTAGGTTATTAGCTGGTGAAAAATATTGTTTTTTTTTTACCATCAAAATATTTAAAATTGAGAATAATATGAATATTATTAGGGCACATGGGGCTGTAGGCTTATGAAGGTCCTCATGTATGTTCCATAAAAATCATATGTAGTACTCGGCTACGTTACGGTCTATAAAGATGATAACGGTTTTAAATCTACAACTTAAAAATACGGTATTTTTTCAATTCTACAACAGTATAAAAACTGAAAAAGCCCAATTAAGTACAACCATTTATTTCTACAATTTTTTTCGTTACACACCAACGACAGATTTTCCCTAGCTACTACAATGCTCCCAGGAACCAATAAGCATGTGCCCGATAAGTGCTATTGAACTTATGGGTCAATACACCTGATTTCATATGAACAAAGTTTGCTACCTTCTATACCTACTCTGCTAGACCACCAGTTTCGTTATACAATTTCAATATAATTTCTTCAATAATCTATTATTTAGAGATTACTATACGTACATCCTCATCTCTGGACCCTGCTTACAGCAGTGAGCTGCAGTGACTACGAATCTGTCACTGACAATAGACCCTCCGCATATTGGGAACTTGTTCCGTCTATCCACGAGCTTCAAAAATACATTTTTTCTTTCTGAAAAATAACTCAAAATGAGGAATATGATAGTTTCACCCAGGATTTATAATGTTTAGAATCTCAAAACCGTATGTTTGAACCTCAGACAATACTAAGGTTACAAGAAATTAAATCTTAATTGAAAAACTTTAAAATATTACTTTTAAACTACATACAGTCAATGCTATAAAGTTTTATAAGCAGTAACTAATTTCCTTGCACTATTGTCACCATGAGAAATAATTAATTATTATATGCACATCATCTCAATCATTGGTGAGTATAGGATTGTTTTGTTGTTATTTATGGGGAGGGGCAGGATTAATTTAAGGCTAGCGTAAGTAAACGACACCCATAGTTTATCTCACTTTCGCTGCTCATATTCAGATAAAAAAGGTTATCTGAATATGAACGACTTAAAATGTATCTTATGTATCTAATGTATCTTAAAATGAACGACAACCAACGTAAGGCATTGATGACATCATTGAAAATTGTTTTGTAACAAAACTACTTCCATTTCAACAACGAATTTTACATCCAACAAGAAGGTCTCGCAATGGGCTCACCATTGTGATTCATTTTGGCAGGAATCTTTCTCAATAATATCGAAAACAGATACATTTGGACCGATAACAACCGCTATCGAAACAAACTGATATTTTATTACAGATATGTTGACGACATTGTAATTTTGTTTGGTGGCAATCCAAGAGAGGTTCAGTTGTTCACCATTTTCATGAATACCATCCATCCCAAACTAAAATTCAATCTCGAATTAGAAGAAAACAATTCACTGAATTTCCTCGATCTGACATTGAATAAACGTGATAGTTGTTTTACCTTCAATATCTATAGGAAACCAACAGCTACAGACACATATATTCACGCAACGTCTCGTCACCCAATGTCTCACAAACTTACCGCATATAACAGTTTTGTTCATCGCCTTTTAACCATCCCATTGAGCACTGAAGATTTCGAAACTGAGAGAAACATCCTAAAGCACATTGCATTATCCAACGGATACAGTCCTCTTATGATTGATAATTTAATTTAAAAACACCGCAAAAAATCGAACAATCCTCTCACTCGAATTTCACAAAATAAACGTGAATTTGTTTCAGCATAACTTGGTGAACAGTTGCATCTAACAATAAAAAAATGGAAAAGAAAAATAGTATCTTTTAGAACCTCCCACAATTTAGATAAGCTTATAAACACTAAATGATAAGGTGATGATGTTAACAAGAGAACCGGAGTATAAAAATTATCCTGTAACGACTGCAGTAAATTTTACATAGGCCAGATAGGCCTATATAAAAAGGACTTGCGGTCCTTCGAGAAAAGATTCAAAGAATACATCACAAAAAGCCACCAAGGTGCAAAAATCTAATTATGCCTAACATCTGGTAGTAAACCACCACAACTATACAAATTTAGAAACAAACTTAAAACCATTGCACATTTGCAAAAAAGGCAGGATCATGACAGCTCTGGAACAGTTTGAAATTTATAAAGCCGCAAAAAAACAATCCCCAGGACAAAAATTACAAAAGCACTCTGCAAACTAATATTTTATTTGAATCGCTCATAAAGTTGGACAAGGACCGTGATAAAGGCGGCCAGGGGACAAAGTTCAGCTCCTGAACAAGTCGAAACTACAGTTTTTGTCCCTGTTTTTAAATGTTTAAATGTTTGTGTAATTGTTTTAAACTTTGACGTGACCAATTCAAGAATGGTTTAAGTTCTTCAAGTTTGTGACCTGATGATGATGCGAATGCATTGAAACGCGCGTAGTCCAGTATAGGAACAGAGGAATCACGAGGCAGTTACAAGTATTTTAACCCTTTTCCAATATTATTGTCAACGTGATTCTGAATAAACAACACAACATGAAGTCATATTCAGAGTGTAATTTTCACTGAATGCCACTTCTACTTTACCAAGTTCACGCTCCTTTATTGTAAATTTGACCATTAAAAATATATCCTTCACTTTATTTATATTAATTATTTTTGAGGGAGAGGCTGTTCACCCCCCCCCCCCACCATAATATTCGCTCCTAATCTAAACTGTTCGTTCACTAGTGTCAAGCTGTAATAAATGTTTTTACAGTTACAAACCCATAATATAGACTACATAGTTTGTGCGACTTCTTATAGTTTGTTAATCTAAATAAAAAGCTACTTACTTCTTCGAAAATTAAATCCAGAAATGAGTCGGGCAGCAAAGGTTTTCGGGAGGTTGCCATTGGAAGCGTATATGAGCGCTGCCCAGGGAAATTGTCCTAACTTGGCGTCGTGGCCTCCGGTCACTCTGGGAGCTGGTCGCACCTTACCACACCGGCCGGTCGGGGGTAGCAGAGCACAGCCTCCTCTATCTGTGAGTACATGAGATAGTTCGTTATGTATGTATGCTGCAAAACTAGCAATCTTTATACAAACTGACACCATTCAGAAAGTAATGAAACTGATTTAAGCATGCCGAGTAAGAGTTGCATCATGAAATACAAGTATTGAGATGTCTGAAAACTATTTTAAAAAAACACTTTTAAAATTATATTTACAATGTTTTTTTATCAAGAGAGAAGAATTCGGCTAATCACAACGTAAGGCATACACTTAAGAGATTGTTACTTAGACATAAAGTAAACAGTCTCAAACATTTTATAAAATATTATCGTTCAAATACCAAGTACCAATGGTATAAAACCAACTACAACAATAAAATACTGCCGCCGCAGCAAACCTGCAGACTAAGCGAATTTCCATTTGTCTGATTTGATTTTCAACTAAATATATTTTAATAACATTAGGTTTAACGAGTACCTAGGTTTGCTGTCTAAAGGGAGGGTAATAAATTGTGTTTGTAAGTAAAATATTAATAGCTTAGTGTAAAATAAATAGATTTGCCAGGTTTGATCCAAATAAATCCGTAAACAAGAAAACTACAACAGTTTACTTATCCTTCATAAGAATAATATGGGAAGTTTTAATTTAAAGTTTTCTCCGTAACCAATAATCATACAGAAACACTTCAATATACTAAACTGTTTTAAGCTCTTTAAAATGGTCTAGAGAAAGTTTGGGAAATTTTAAGTTTTGAGGGTCAAAAACGAGAAAACACAATTTTTACCCCATAATTCCCCCCATAAAACCCCGTTCCCAAGGTCCTATCATGCTGGTTCGCGAACTCGTTCGAATAATGTAGTTTGCACGTTTGTACCAAATTTCATCAAAATCGGATAATTTTTGCTCGAGTTATCGTGCTAACGGACACACACATTTATATACATATGAATGAATATATGAATTTAAACGGATGGTGTTTTTTAGCTTCTAGGTACATCAACATGTAAAAGTAAATCGGTCCCGGGTCCAAGCCTTACCATGAGACCTACGGTAATAGCTTATTTGGCTCATCACTCATAAATACATATACCTAACATTTATTACTTAAGTAAATTGGCTCAATTGCTTACCGTTGCATGAAAAACTGCAAAAAACGGAACCGAGTATACTGAAAATGATAAAAAACAAGTTGCAAACGAGAACCATCTCAAAGTGAAGATGTATCACAACTGCAACAGAAACATTAAACTCCAATGGGAACAGTTTATGAGATGCGCTTTACAAGTGAAGATGCATGAATAAATTAGTGAACAATGAAGTCTCTGTACAATTGAAGGTTATACATTCAAGGTTATTTATTTTGTTTATGAATATTAAGCTGGAATGCTTAATGGTGCTAGTTAAACTTTTAAATAATCTTTGCATGGAATTTTTTGCATAAATCATTATACTTCAAAAAAAATTTTACTTCAAATTACACGTATTTATTACAATACTCGATGTACGAATTAGTATAACACAATCCAACAACATATGCTATACATGTAGGTAACTTTTAAAAACTGAGGAATTGGCACATGGATTTTGCCTTGAAATTGCCATAAATGCCATTTTTAGCAAATTTCCCATATAGGAAATAAGCTATTACCGTAGTACTCATGGTAGGACCTGACCCGGGACCGATTTACTTTTTCGTTTTGAGGTCCCTAGAGGCCAAAAACACCATCCGTTCAAATTCATATATATATATATATATATAGGCTATATATATATATATATACATACATATATGTGTCCGTTAGCATAATAACTCGAGCAAAAATGATCTGATTTTCATGAAATTTGGTATAAACGTGTAAAGCTACGTGTATTCGAACGAGTTCGCGAACCAGCATGATCGGACTATGGGAACGGGGTTTTATATGGGGTTTTATGGAGTAAAAATAGGTTTTTCCCATTTTTGACCCTGAAAACAAAAAAATTTACAATTTCTTCCCAAACCATTTTGTAGAGCTTAAAAAACTAATAATTTAGTATATTGAAGCGTTGTTGTGCGCCTAATGGTTACGGAGAAAATTCCAAAAAATTTTAAATTTAAAATGCCCATGTTATTCTTATGGAGAATAAGTCAACTGTTGTAGTTTGCTTGTTTATGAACATATTTTGATCGAATTTGGAAAATACTTTCATTTCTTTTCTTACTAAACTATTAACATAAAAAAAAAACATTTTTACCCTCCCTGTTGCAGCAAGCCTAAGTACTCGTTAAACTAATTCTATTTAAATAGGAAATAAATGTGATATTTTTATGGAGGCAATTTAGTGTAGATCCTATCAGGTCAATAGAAATTCGCTTAGTCTGCAGGTTTGCTGCGGCGGGGGTATTATTTATTTGCTGAGAGTGAAATTTTAAAACACAACATATATATTTAGTAGAGCTGATTTTCGGTCTATAATAGAAAATTTCCTTAGCTACTACTCAACTTTCTACAACTATAAGATGTTTTTTATATGTTTGGCATATTTTGCGAAGTCAAATATCAACTTGGATTAGATTGACCACAGAAGTAAGTATGTAAAATAGTTTTATTTTAAATACGTCATAACAATCACGAAACCTATTGGTTATCTATTGGTTCCATTATCACCAATATAATAGTATATATTTAAGGTATGAAATATTTTTGAATCCTAAAATTAACAGTATATTAATCTCGGATAATTTAGAAATTAGAATCCACAGTAAGGATATTATGGTAGCACTTACGTGTTTGTTTACAGCTGTGTACCTTAAAATAGCATTATGCCACTTACATCTTCATCTTAAGCAGCTTTAAACTGTTATTTTAATGTGGTGAAACTTAACCAATCACCACTAAAAACAAATTACTTCCAATAACAAAATAATAAATAATTAGAAATACATTTCTTCATCTCAACGTGATCTTATAAAAGTGAAGAATGTGATAACACGAAAAGTGAATCTATTAGGCACAATACGCAAAAAACTTTCATGTATGATACATTTTTAGCTTTCGAAATTTCTAAAGTTTTGTGAAACCACTATTTCAGACGCGAATTCTTCAAAGGATAACGAACGTTTAATGAAATGAATATCTTTCTCAATTCTCTTTATTGGTCAATGTGACTTTTAGTCAAAAAATATGCATGTAGGGGAAAGACTATGTTTTGCTAAAAGTGTATACATGCTGGAGATATTATAGGCCTACTGTATGTAAATATTTTATTTCTATATAAGTGACATCTACGACCAATTGGAATATCATGACGAGGTCAGCAATGCTGATTATATTTAGATTTTACATCAATCAGACTAGATAACTAGATATTCATGGATTCCACTTATAAGCTGATTTCAGCATTCTTGTGTGACAGAAGTGTAGCTATAAAATACAAGTGATCACGATTAGCTCGGGTAAAATATGAACCAGAGTTACCAATAACAAATTGTTAAGTAATAAAATAAACGAATCTAGTTCATAAAGTAGGCTACCTGTTATGCATTTTTTTCAATATTTGCACTTTCAAACACTGCGTTCTATACGTGTGGTATATTGGGAAATCTAAAGTCTGCAGTTCTGCTATATAATGACAGAATTGCGGTCGTGTAACAATTCAATATTTTCACTGATATTTTTTAATAGAATAATTTTCACCATATGTTTTTTATTTCATCCAAATGTTAATCCATCTTTTTTTACCTTGTATAATAATTGTCCATGCAGACCAATAGGTAATTGATTCAATACAATGTAAAATAGAACATTTTCAAATAACCTAATTATATGTAAATATGCTTTATCCTAAAACATTTTGTAACAAAATTGCTTCAAATTCAATAGAATTTACTTAAATAACTTATCTAAATTCAAATTTAGCTCTCTAGCAAATGAAAGTTGTTATAATATATGTTTGATGAACAGTGGCCTAAAATGTTACTCTAATGAAGTCAGCTTTGACATGTGTAAAATCAGCAATGCACCAAACCTTCCAAGAGAGCTGAACTAGTGTGAAGATGTGAATTGTTAACTGGCATATTTCGATATCAAAATAAAAAAGTATACTTTGAACAATTATTACAATTTTATGAAAGAAGATTCGTTCTTATTTTACAAACATTAATTACCAACATCAAGAATTATTACATTACCTGTGAAGAAGACTTCGAAATTGGTGAGATCACTCCTGTAGAACCTTTTCTTGGAAGCCATTAAAACATTTTAGGCCCTTACTTTTGAACATTTATACCAAATTTTGAAATTAAGAAACTATTAGAAGCTTATTTCAGAACGTTAATTCAACCAATCAGAAACATAATTTACAAATAATTTATATTTCAGAACCAAATTTAATTATTAAATCACAAGATTAAATTATAACGCCACCCAATCACCCAAACCTGAGATAGAGATCCATGTATGTGTGTAAACCTCTGAGCCTAAATTAAAAATATTGCAATTTATAGCCTAAAGCTTTTAATTAGTAAATTCAACTCCCCACATTGTAAACTCTTATTGTGAATCTTTTTTTTTCTACTATCAAGGTTTTTGTACTGTTATTCAATAAAATTAAGTTTCTATATTGTAAATAGAATATAGAACAGTTTCCATTGTGGGCTTAAGTTAAGAGTGATTACAGTCGCAAGGCTAGAAAACCCGAAGTTTCCACACTTAATTAGATAACATTTTAGAAATCTCCATAAATCCTCTTTAAGGTGGCTCCAAACAACATACGTCTAACGCCTGCTTGTACAACCACATAAATCAATATTTGGTAAGAATTAAGGTCATCGACATGTATTTTATGGATAAATGAAGATTACATTTTGGTTATTTGGTTTTATTTCACAGAAGGACCATAACAGATTGTTATACGTTGTAAAAATAACCAATATTCGAGTTAACGAAAATGATCCCACGCCATTCAAGTTACATTATTAATGATATTTAATAATATTTTTTGTCCAACAGTTTTGAAATTTATATGCTTATGTTCTTTCGATAATGTTACTTTCAGAATCAAATAGTTGTTAATTCAGTTTTTCATGAGTTTTTCAGATAAGGGTATTGTATATATTCTAAATTGCATTAAACTTCAGGTGTAGACATAATGAAATCGGCCACATGCAGATTGGCCAGTGGTACAAGGGTCTGTTCTAACATACAGCCTCACGAGAGTAGAGGCATACAGTAAAATGGGGGAGGAGCTTCTCCATTCACCAGTCACACGGGTGACCAGACTCAAGAGACGCATTTAATATGAAATAACACTACGTTTTGTGCTTTTAAGTAAAAATGTAAGGTTGTTACACTCAAATGTAACTTACACAAAACAGTGCAAATTATATTATATTATTCAAGTGCAAATTATATAATACCCCGCCACAGCAAACCTGCAGACTAAGCTAATTTTCTTTTTCCTGATTGGATTTACACTGAAATGTCTCCTTAAAAATATCACATTTTTCACCTATTTAAATAGAATTAGTTTAAGGAGTACTTAGGTTTACGGCAACAGCAAGGGTAAAAATGTGTTTTTTTTATGCATTTTCCAAATTTGATCGAAATATGTTCATTAACAAGCAAACAACAACAGTTTACCTACTTATTCTCTATGTGAATACCATGGGGATTTTATATTTACAATATTTTAGAATTTCTTTGTACCATTAGGTGCATAGTACCACTTCAATATACATAATTATTTGTTTTTAAGCTCTACAATATGGTATGGAAAGAATTTCCTAAGTTTTTTTGTTTTTAGGGTCAAAAATAGTAAAAACCAATTTTTACCCCATAAAACCCACTATAAAAACCCGTTCCCATAGTACGATCATGCTGGTTCGAGAACTCGTTAGAATAAAATATAGGTTTACACGTTAGTACAACATTTCATAAAAATCTGATGATGTTTGCTCGAGTTATATATAACAGACACATATAGGCCTATAAAAATGTATAATATACGGTATATGAATTTGAACGAATGGTGTTTTTGGTCTCTAGGGACCTCAAAACGAAAAATTAAATCCGTCCGGTGTTCAGGTCTTACCATGAGTACTACGGTAATAGCTTATTCCGTAAATGAGAAATTCGCTAATACCCCTGCCGCAGCAAACCTTGTTATAGCAATAGTTAAGAAAATGTTACAATTTTCAAGTCTTGAAGTGTTTTTTCAAGGTTCAAAAGAA